TTTTGTTATTTTCTCGCCTGGTCCATTATACTCCTGCTATGAGTGAAACCATCCGGTATTTTTCTTTCTCTTTCTGGCTTATCTCACTAAGCATGACAATGATACTTTCTTATTCTAAAAACAGATTCTGAAATTGCTGGACCCTGTTGAAACTAGAGATATCAGAGAAAGACGATGACATAGAGAAGGAAAAGAAGCTGCTAGCCACCATCAGCAAAGATGACAGGACAAAGAACAGGAGGGATAAGTCATATGCCAAGGACGTAAGAGGCAGCCTTCTAGACAGATCTACACAGACAGGAACATAGGTGCTAGCTTCGTGACTGGTCCCAAGATGTGGGGAACAAGGTACTAAGACTTGCCGGATGTTGGAAGGCCATGGCTTCTCAAAATACCTTCCAGTTGATTGATACGCTTGTTCTTGAGGTCTAGCAGTTGATTCAACCTCTCCAGTTTTTCTGAGTGCTCTTTATTTTCATTATCGGATTTTGACATCATTGCTTCCAGTTCCTCCTGAAACAAAATAATGTCTGAACTTTTCTACCTCAGTGGCCCAGAACCAAAGAGCCCAGATAAAAAGGTGACATTTGTTGGGTAGGAGAGGCTCTATTATCTCCTCAGGAGGGCAGATTCATCCACTAGGAAAAGGCTTGGGTTCCTCAAAGACCCCTCCAAGGATAAGTTGTGCTATCAGAGCCATTAAGTAGTATTTTCTGGGACTGGCAAAATTTGAACCCAGAGGCGTCACACCTGCCATTTTCATTAGCTGGCCCCTTCACTAGCTCCTACTGCCAAGGTGCCATGAACATATGTGAGTCCTCAAGGTCTTCAAAGGGCAGCCCATTCTGTGTTTGCACAGGACAGCATATCACCTGCATCAGCCCTAGACACTCGGGGCTTGCTTCCCCAGTCTTGGGAGTGGTTCCCCTGTGCCCATGTATCTATCCCTTTCCTGGACCATCTTTTCTTGCACCTGATAACACACGTTGATTTTGCGTTGCAGAATAAGCATGTCCCTGGTCTTTTCTAGTTCCAGTGTGGTCTCTGCATGTGATTCTTTCAGTTCACTTAAGATCTTAGACAGTTCATTCACTTCTTCATTTTTTGGTGTGCAGGGCTGAAGAGGAAAAAGCATTAATGAAAGGGAGTATAAATAATAAGTATATGAATAACTACTCTCCATATAGCATTTGTTGGCTTATAATATAATACTATTTATTTACTCCAAAATGTAAATGAGGACTTCTGTTATTCCCATGTTCAGTAGCTACTGTGAGGAAGTTGTACACCCTGTAAAAGGAATTTGATCTTCAACAGATCATTTCATGTCTGCCTCTGAAAAGAGCCTACATTTTATCACTTGTAGAGGGTGGGGGAAAATGTGTAGAGTTCATGAAGTACTTTTCTCTCAAACTTCTCATATCCTTCCAAATATCCTCAACTAGCACAAAATACAATTCAGTTTTCTAATCCCTTCTCTAGAGATATCTGGCAGAAATCCATTGTGGAGAGGGATTGTTTGATCAAAGATGCTCTTACCTCTTCTGCAATGGTCTCTTCGAATATTAGTGGATAAGAGTCTGCTTCCGACTGACTGTCTGGAGATTGGGAAGATATGTCTTTATTCTGCAGTTCTAATTCTTGGTTATGCTTCTGTAGCTTTTTGGTGACTTCAAGCAACAGTTCCTTTTGAGCTAGGAAAAATTATCCAGAAAGCTGAAACTCTGCAACTGTCAGTACCCATAGTCAAAGCTGGGTCAAGTAAAAATTAAATTTTTCCACTAATGTTAACTCACTTTAAAAATATGCCCTGACCCTCCCTGGTGGCGCAACAGCACTGCAAGCTAGTCACAGCTGCTTCAGTGTGAACTGGATCCCCACCCTGGAGGTGATCCACATGGCGCAGCAGACCTCTCCTGTCTTGCCTACTGCTTCCCTCAGCAGTGTACTTGTCAGTCAGTCTGTTCTGTGCCCCATTCTGTCTTTAGTGAATCTTCTCACTGCCCTTGCACCTCTGGCTTGTGCCCCAGTTTTGTATGCATAAATAAATCTTTTTTTTTTAAATTCTGTTTAAACAAAATATGCCATTGGGGTCTCCCCAGTGATACAGCACCTAAAGGCACAGCACTGTCAAGCTATCACCAGCCAAACTCCTATAGCAGGAGTTTGATTCTCAGCTTGAGAGCTGACCCACGTGGTGCAGCTGACCACTCTGTCTTGCCTGCTGCTCCCCTCAGCAGTGTATTTCAGTAGATCCACCTATTCTACTACCCCACTCTGTCTCTGGTGAATCCTCTCACCTCCTCCCACACACACACACATACCTCTGGCCTATACCCCTGTTCTTGTATGCATAAATAATTTTTTAAATGCCCCTGGGGCTCAGTGGCTTACAGTAAAGGAATATGGGTGCTTTGATGGGTGGGGGTAGCATGGTAACATACACTTGAGGTGGTGTGACACTACTTCCCTAAATCACATACACTGTTGTAAACCATTGTTACCTCAATTAAATAAATAAGTAAAAATTTGTCCTTAGAGGAGCAATATTCTATTATTTTAAAAAGGGTAGTTCTAGCTTATTGACTTAGTAAGATGAATTGACATCTGCACACACACACACAAAAACAAAACATAAACATCTGTAAAATTGTAGAGAATTGACCAAAGCCAGAAATTTAAAAAACAACCACATGAAGGACAGTTACTTCCAAACCACTATATCTCCTGACTGCTTCTCCACAACATTCTTTTCTTTTTAAATATTTATTTTTATTGATTTATGCATACAAGAACTAGGGTGTAGGTCAGAGGTGCAGGGGGTGAAAGGACTCACCAGAACAGAGTGGGGAGCACAACAGGCAGATCTACTGAAATGCACTGCTGAGGGGAGCAACGGGTGAGACAGGAGAAGTCTGCTGTGCCATGGGGGTCAGCTCCCGAGTTGGGAATTATGTTGCAGTGGCTGGCAGTAGCCGTATAGCATTGAGACCCCAAGCCCCGCACAACCAGGAAAGAACCCCTCCATTCCATTCTGACTCCTAAACTATTGATTCTCTGTGACTTCCACCTCCACTCTCACCCTAACCTGGAGACAGGAAAATGAATAGGTGAGCATTTCTGTGTATGTGCTTCAGGAAAGGAAAGTGATTACTATTTAGTGTGATAATTTCATAATTTTGCATTAGAGAGGGTCCTAAAAGTACTTCACTTGTACATGAGACACTATAATGTCCTTAATATGTGCTTCACAGCATTATTCTTTCATAGTTTCTATTTTTCTTCATGTCATGTTTCTTTTCCTTTGCTCTCCTATATGAACATACTAGAATTTGATAAAATATAGGTTTAATAAACCTAACAGTATGGCCCAGGATAGCAAAAAAGAAGTGAGATAAAGATCTCTTTGAAGGATTTAAAAGTCTTCACAATAATTATCATTGTCATCCAAAAGTTAAAACAGAATGAAATGGTAGTAGTAACCAGAAGCCATAATTTAGTTCTCAATTTCAGGTAGTAAGTACTAACAAAAAGGAAAAAGAAAAAGCTTCTTATCACCTTAAAATTATTGCTAAGTATAAAAAGTCAAAAAAAATTTTTTTCAATACATTTGTTAAAGAGGCTATCTAAAATATATAAAAAATTAAGAATTAGCATCTTCTCAAATGTGCACTCATTAATAGGAAAAAATATATGTGTAAGATAGATGTCATGCTTTCTTGATGGTAAATCTGATTTGACTGCCAGTGTTCTGACTCTAATTATCCATCACTCACACAAAAATAGGATCAAGTGAGGGAAATGGAAAAATGCTGGCCCAAGTTCTTATCTCCCAAACCAGATGTAGAAAGATGCCGCATTTGGAAGAACTCTTCAGGGCCTGACCTACCTTGCTCTATGGACATCTGAATTAAGACTTCTTCCTTCTCCTCCAGCTGCACATCCAGCTGGCCCTGCAGCTGGGAGACATTCTGCTGTAGCTGTTCTCCTACCAGTTCACTGCTCCACTGAGGCTGACTGCTGCTGTCCAGCATGCTTAAAATGGGAAGCAAGTAGGGAGCAAGATGAGAACTGTCACATGGATACCAAAAGGTGTATGATATGACACCTTTATTACACAGTTTCAGCATCTCCTGGGTCTAGTTCATCATTCATTCCCATACATGTTTTTTCTGCCCCTGCCTTATCTGTAACTGTCATTTACCAACTGCCTTGGAACCTTTGGATCCTACTAAGGAATTGCTCATACAGACCTCTGTATTGGTCTTAAACACCCTGCTGAGCAACAACCCAAGTCATACCTATTTTCCAAGGAACTTCTCCAGCATGATGGCTTTTTTTTAAGATTTATTTAATTATGCATACAAGAACTGGGAAATAGGCCAAAGGTGTGTGTGTAGGGGGGCGTGGAGCGGGGGGAGTAGTGGTAGTGAGAGGATTCACCAGATTCAGCGTGGGAAACTGAAATATATTGCTGAAGGGAAACAGCAGGTGGGTCAGGAGAGGTCTGCCATGCCATGTGGGTCAGTTCCTTGGCCAGGAATCGAACTCGTGCTGCACTGGCTTAGGAGAGCTTCATAGTGCTGTGCTTTAACCTGTTGTGCCACCAAGGAGGGCCCATGATGGCTTTCTTTAGGCTAGTAACTGCATAGCAAGACATTCTCATATCTGCTGAATTAGAAGTGAGGAACAAAATATTTCCCTTTTCCTTATGCCATTATCCACTTATCTTCACCAATGGTCTTGCTATCAATCAGATTATAAAGTTGACACTGGAAGGCAAAAGCTAAACCTTTCAACTGTATGCTGCACACCATCATTGCTAGCTGTCAGAGCTAACCTATGGCCAGTTGTTTTCACAAGTGAAGAGATGATGGTAAACAATTATTTTAGCTTATGTCTTTTCAAATTGCCTGTTTTAATAAACGTGGTCTAAAAATAACTTAGTATTAAGAGTTCTTGGCACTTCCTGACCATATACTACATGATGATCCAAGCAGATAATGTTCTGAATCACGGAGGAAAGAATAATGTTTGTAGGAAAGAGTAATGTTTGTCACAGGCTGTCTTCAAGTGAATCACCCCCACACTATTTCATTACATTCTACTAAAAAGCAGCAGTTGTTTCCAAGACATGCCTATACAACCTCCCCAATCTACCCTCTGCTGTTTTCAAGTTAGTCAGAGGGACATTTAATTTTTTCAACTATCAACTATTTTTCATTTAAAAATTAGTAGATACTTGTTATGGAAAACTAAAGAACATAGAGGTGGATTTTATACAGAATAAAAGTGAAGCACCTCTAAAGTTTGTGGATTTAAACATATGTACAAAACATAAACTAGGTCACAGGTAGCATATTCCTTTGCAAGATTATTCTTTTTTAAATAAGATATCTTAATATAGGTGTACCTCATTTTTAGCAGTTTCATAATATTTTATTGTGGTTATGCTACAAGATTTATTTAGCCAATCCCTTAACAAAGGAAATTTGGCTTTCAATTTTTTTTACTATTACAATAATGCAGTAATTAGCAATCTTACTACACATATACCATTGCATACATATGAGCTTTAATTTTGATTCCAAAATAAAAGGAACTGTTGGCACAAAGGATAGCATGGTTAACACTTGGACAGATAGTGTCAGATTCTCTTATAAAAACACTGCACCAACTTATAGTACCAGCTCCCTGCACATTCTTATCAATAATAGGTATTATTTTGAAGACCTGGAAGAAATTTTTGTCATTGCTCTTTATACCAAATAATGTTCTGGGACCCAAGTTTGGTACTCACTTTTCTAAGAGTTTGTCGTAATTGTCGATCAGCAATTTGCGTTCTTTTTCCAAATCTTCAACTCTCTCCTGAAGCTAAGAATGATAGTAAAGTGCCCAAGATGAAATTTTTAAATCTATTGTATTGCACAAGTTTCCCCTTTTTCCATCATAGGATGGGGCTTAGGTGGGAGATTTTTATACTCATCTCTCATGTCTACGAGGAGATATTCAACTAGAAAGGTGTGAACCAAATGAAGATGGGCTAGAAACTTTTATTGGAATTAGTAAGGCTTCTTTGAAAGTTTTCATGATTTCTGGGTTATTATTATTGGGGATGCAGCAGAACTTTATAATACAGTAAAGACGAGAGAAGGGACATAAGTATAAACCTTAGTTGTTCCCCAATGGTGTAATCTTGAGCAAATTATTTAAATAGTTAGAGCCACATTTTTTCATTTGAAAACACTCTGCTAAAAAAAAACACATTTTGATATCTCTAAAATTGGAATGTAACTTACAATGATGTTGCCTTTTAATTATTATTGCTATTTACCTCCTTCAGTGTTAGTTGCAGGATAGACATATCTTCTAGTTGACTCTTTAAGCTCACAACCTTCATGCTCTCTTCCTTCAGTTCTGCTCTGAGCTCATCCACTTGGCTGAGGAGAGCATCATGGGCTGCTCTCAGGATTCCCTGATTCTGGGGCAAGAGGAAAGGTGCTTTGGGAATGGTCATACCAATTACCAAGAATAATCTCAAGACTAGTGACCATAGAATTCCCTAGTGGCTGTCACAAAGAACAGCTTTGATTAATAGCATGTTGCCTTTAAAGTTGTCACCAGGCCTCCCTGGTGATGCAAGGGGTTAAGTCTCAGCACTGTCAAGCTATGGGCAGCCAATGCAGCAGGAGTTCAGATCCCCAGCCAGGGAGCTGACCCACATGACATAGCAGACCTCTCCTTTCTTGCCCGCTGCTCAGCAGATCTGCCTGTTCTGTTCCTCATTCTGTCTCTGGTAAATACTCACTCCCCCCATCTCTAGCCTAAACTCCAGTTCTTGTATGCATAATTAATTAAATAGATCTTTAAAAATTAAGAAATAAAATGTATTTCCAAATATTTTAGACATTAGAAAATAGCAAAGTGATCTCTCTGGGGAGAAAATTAATCAGGTTATTGACTTATTAAAACATTTTATAGCTCTCCATCCACACCTATAGGATAAAAATCTAAGTTTTTTTTTTCATTTTGAATTTGTAGTTTACTTATGGAGAATGAAGACAAGCAATAAAAGAAAGTCAATTTTGTATCATATAGGTTATTTTTTAATGATATAATAGTTTTTTACATCATTTTGTGCCTTTTTTTTTTAAAGATTTATTTATTTGTTCATACAGAACTGGGGTACAGGCCAGAGGCTCAGGGGTGGTGAGAGGATTCACCAGAGACAGAGTGGGGAGCAGAACAGGCAGATTGACGAAATGCACCGCTGAGGGGAGCAGCGGGCGGGTCAGGAGAGGTCTGCCAGCCATGTGGTCCCACACACCGGGGCAGGTGGGTATCGAACTCATGCCAAAGTGGCTTTAGCTTCTCAGTGCTGTGCTTTAACCCGCTGCGCCACCAGGGAGGGCCCCATTTTGTGCCTTTTTCCATCTCAAAATCTAAATTTTTAAAAATTATATTAGTTTATTTTTACACATTTTTGTGTATTTTTCCATCTCAGTTGCAATCTCCTTGGGTTTCTCATCACCAAATCACTCATGTGCCATCACCATAGTCCAGTGCATTTCCTTCCCTCCACTGTTTTTGATCCCATTCCCCAAAAATCTAAATTCTTAATAAGGCATTCATGACCAACCAACTCCTGGAATTTCTCACCTCGGTGCCTTTGCCTACATTTATCCCTTAGAAATTCTTCATTGTCTTTGCCACCTGCAAATCTTTCAGTATTTCTAGTATTCGGTTTTGAATATATTCCCTTAAGAATCCTTTTTGTATTCTGCACACCATTCTGTGCTAGATCTATTCTCTCTTTATTTAAAGATTTGTTTTTATCTATTTATGCATACAAAAACTGGGAGGGAGGAGGGCTGAGAGGATTCACCAGAGACAGAGTGGGGAGCAGAACGGCAGATCCACTGAAACACACTGCTAAGCAGAGCAGCGGGTGAGACAGGAGAGGTCTGCTGTGCCATGTGGGTCAGCTCCCTGACTGGGGATTGAACTGGTGTTATAGTGGCTGAGGATAGATAGCTTCATTGTGCTGAGACTTAACTCCTTACACCACTAGGGAGGCCCCTGACTATTCTCTTTTCTTGTCTTCTCCCCTGTATATCCTGTGTGTCGACAGTTATACCTGTTTATATCTTGTTCTCTTACTTCTGTAAGTTCCTTGAGGTAGGAGCTGACTTATTTATCTTTGTAATCTGTGTATACACTGCTTTGCACAGTTTCTAGGATTTAATAGCTATTAAATAAAAGAATTGTGCCAATCTATTACTGAGATCATTGATGCCCTGGTTCCATAATCTCTACTATATGGTCATGAGAAAAGAACAGATAAACATGGGCTCAAATCCTGCTCTACTTTCTGTTTTTAGGACTGGAGCAAGATACTTAACTTCTTTGAGGGTCTGTTCCTTTGTCCATTAAATATACTTACCTTGAGGGCTGCTGTCAAGCATAAATGAGATCTTGACTATGAGTATTTAGGACACAGTTCAGCATGTAGAAAGACTTCAGGAAAGGAATGTCTGGTTTATTTCCCTTCCTTTGTGACTGTGACTGTTCTTAGCTTCCTAACTTAATTACATCCTAGTTGTGGTCCTTGGCTGAGACCTTAACCCTGATACAAATTAACCCCATTTAAATCCACTTTAGCAGATTGGACTTGTGTCTTCTTCTGATAGAGAGATAATGGAAAGCATTGGGAAAAGAATGGCTTATGAAAGTAAGACTTAGCTTTGAATAATACCAACTAGTTGTGTAACCTTAGGCACAAGTGTGCACTCTCACATGTAAAAGGAGGAAAATAATATTAACAATCCCCCTCCCCCTAAAAGCCTACCTTATTTGATCACAACTCACCTCTTGAACTCTCATTAAGTGTGCTTTTGTTACTGTCAAAGAGGTATTCCTTTCATGTAAGAGCTTCTTAAGTCGAATCAGTTCTATATTTTCCCTAATGGAAGCTCTAGAGAAAGAAGAAGGGCTAAAATAGTCTGCCTATGAATGGGATAGAGAGTTAAGCACTTCAACCTTCCTCCCCCAGATTTTCAGAGCAATGAAACCATCTGTATGATACTATACTGATAGATCTATGTCGTTATACATTTTTCCAAATCCACAACTGTACATCAAGTGTGAACTCTTAGAAAACTACATAATTTAAGATCATTCAATACTGAAACATTGATTTTAAAGAATTACCTTTATTTATTCAAACAAGAACTGGGGTATATGCCCGACATGTGGTGGGTAAGAGGATTCATCAGATAGAATGGGAGCAGAACAGGCAGATTGACTGAAATACACTCAAAGTTAAATTATGGATTTGGGACGATAATAATCTCTGTTCTTTCTGCTTAATTTTACTGTAAACAAAGCTGCTCAAAAAGTCTATTAAAGAAAGGTCCTTCAGGAACTGATGCTCAGAGAGGGCTGAAAATTGTTTTTCTTCTGCGAAATGATGCAGCAAATCTATTATACATAAACATCTGGAGGTTAATCTACCTCTTAACCCACCTGGGACTACAAAGTCTACTTCTTAGATTGAATTTAACCCCAAACATTTTCTTTTCCCTGAGATAGAGGAAAGGTATAAGTAAAAATTGCTTACTTTTTCAATTTATTATGGTTGAAGCAAGGAATGCCAAACTCTTACCGAAGCTCTGTGGCTTTCTGAGCAGTCTTCAAAACAGAGGGTTTCTGTTCAAAATCTTCATCTTTGGACCCTGATTTCTCCGGAGACTTGGCTAATTCTTTCTTTTGCAAAGTGTTGCTTGTCATATTGTGGGCACTGGTAGGCATGCAGAGACCAATGAGTTTAGTCATAATTACCACTTTCTTGAAAGAAATTATACTGTTAAAATTAGGAATATTAAAAATAAAAAGAAGAAATAGAAACTGCTGTCATAGAAGTTTAGATCTGGGATCAAACATATTTAAGAAGTTAGAGGAGCTAACTTAAGAAGAAGTGGTTTGTATGGAACATAATCTTACAAAATATAGCTCAAGTGTCAAACAGAAATATAAATAACTTGAGAGCTAACAGCAAAAAGAGAAAGAAAGGAAATACATTATACATTCAATTAAGGGAAAAGTGATTTCCTTGTCCTAGAAGATGGAAAGCTGCTTCGTTTCCATTTTCAAGCAATGAAGTTGAGTTGGACTCACAGTTCACTTTCCATTCTCTAATAATAAAACTTCAAAATGCCAAAATTTACTTGCTCCCTAGATACTGTATTTCCAATTAAAGCTGAAAGAATAATGCACAAGATGAATGAAAAGAACTCACAGTTCACTGGGTTCACAGGTTACTTCACCTCTGATTTCCTTATTTGTCACATGCTCCTTGAACGTGGGAGGGGCCGTGTAGCTCAGCCTCTCCCTTGGCTCTGGAAGTTTAGACAGACATGCAAACTGTGAGAACAGATTTCTCCAGAACAGCAAGTGCGAGAATTGGAACACCAATTTTCTGAAAGTAGGGAGTTTTGAGGCCTGGGGTAAATCTTTCTTCAGCCACTGATTCCAAAAGATTCTCAATCTTTACTTGTGTGTAGAAATACTACTATAGAAGCCAGTCAAACTATTAACTTGCAAGTATAAATGAGAAGAAAGAAAGGTGCAAGCTTGTCTAGAATGGGAACTGTTGTCCAACTCTAATGTATCTCTAGTACCTGGTAAATATGGATATTCAATAATGCTGAGCTGTTAAACTGAACTAAACTTTAAACTTACTTAATTTTTTACTTTTAGTTTTTGTTTTGTTTTGTTTTGTTTTGTTTTTTTCATAGATCTGGTTTGCTGGAGGGGTACTTCAAAGTATCAGACAATAGTAAACAAAACTTAGCATTGAACCCTGAGGATAAATACGACCTCATTCCCATTGACTTAAATAAGGAATAAGTGCTAGGTAAAGGAAACATACACACAGCATTTAATTCAATGTTGGGTCATAAATTTTTGGTCACTTGAAACACAGGAAGAGGAGAAAGTGCGATTAACTCCCAACGGTCACTTACAGCCCTGATTTCTAGGCCTGGTCTCAAAGAATTTCTGAACCCATGGAACTGTATGAAAAGCTTTGTCGAAAGCCTAAACTTTGATCATAGTTTCAAAGGAGTCTACTTCCTCCAACTTAGCACTATGACCAATTAGCACAGAGGTCCATAATCCCAGTAGAAGAATCTGTCTTAAGATCACTGCTGTTCACATCGAATCAAGACCTAATATAATCTCTGTATCTCTAGGCCTGCTGCAGACTTGACTACCAAATTTCCCATTTCCCTTGTCTGATTCTTCCCTCAGCAATACTTCATGGTTAACTGGGGATTTGAACCTGACATCTCACTCAGAAAAGGATTAAGAAAGGTAGAAAGGATTGAGAACCAAACAAAATGTGGGTGACAAGCAGGATAAAGCTATGAGGAAGAAAACACAGTGGGTAGAACAATTAGTCCTTCCAAGTGTTCTAGCCTTTTGGGGTTTTGGGCCTGACCTGAACCCCTCTTGGGTTTCTCCAACACCCGAGCACCAGCAGAATGGAGCTGTCTGTGTCCTGTGCAGAAGCGTGGTTGGGTTCGTTGGCTTGCAGGGGAGCTAATATTCTGAAACTGCTGTTGCCACCCACGCATCAAGGAGTTCTGGTGCTTGTGGGTACGCTGCTGCCACCCTGTGTTCTGTAGCCTCTTTGTTGGCTCTAACAGCTGCTCCCCTCCAGCTGCCTCTACCCTCAGGTCCCGGCCCTTGGCTGTCAACCGGCGGATGGTTGTCTTCATCCTATTGGCAAAAGAGAGCTGGTGACACATCGCTTCAATGGCAGCTATTATTCCTACAGTTTATTTGGTGGCAAATAATCATAAATTGATTGGTGATATAAATGTATCAACCGTAGTCCATTATTTACATAAAAAATATTTTTTGCCCCATTATAATAACTCTTTGTGGGTAAGCATCCTGTTTCTCTCTTTGTCTATTCTGTTGCAGTGATCACACACTCATCTGAGTAAAACATATTGGGGCATTCTGTAATACATATATGTATTTTTTAGGTATATACATTTATTTCTGTACTAATAAATTATGGTTTACATATAAAGCATAAGTAAAAATACTAATTTTTGAAGTGGACAGAATTAAATACTTGTACAAATTTTAATATTTACTTCTCTTGCCTTGGTTTTACACACATCCTTGCCTATGTGCCCAACTAATGAATTAGAATCAGTCCTCCATGGCCCTTTGTAGATACTTATGTACAGTGTATAGTCATTATTTGTTATCTTGATTAAAACCATGCTTTTTACGATGACTATTGGTTCTAATATTTACTGACTATGTGATCTTGAACATGTCATGAATCTTTTTTGCTCAACTTTCTTATCTATGATAACTGTACCTGCCTCACTAGGTTATTACGAGAATTAAATTAATATATGTAAAGTGCTTAGAACAGCTATGTGTATTATATGCAATGTAGGAATTTGCTATTATTACATATCATCATTAAGAAATCAAGGAATGAAATAGCTAGATAACTTGCTCAAAAACATGGGGGACAGAATCTACTTAAGGCAGTCAGCATCTGTAATCACCAAGAAGTAAGACATTTTGATACATGCAACTTTCTGACTTCCCCAGATTCTCAAATTCTCCACAGTATAAAAGAATCTCCAACTCTGAAGACCTGTACTAGCATACTATGGAAGTTTGCAATCCTAAAGATTCTAAACAAAACTCTGAATTCCTCCAGGAGATTACCAAGGAGAAAGAAAACACTGTCTTTGACTCTGGGAATTGGTCTGACATAGTTGGTCCTCAGTGTTGTTTGAAAATGGTCTGCTGCTCACCAAGAGGTCATGTTACTGTCCTGTTGGACATAATCTCACAGAAAACCCATCAAACAAGGTCACTCTGAGACCATGATAGCATGATAAAAAGCAAGGCCACTGCATAATTTTGTTTAAGCACAAATAAAAACATGGTTACTGTGTCACTCACAAAATACCAAATACCCCCTCTTCTGGTTCATTTGAGTGACAGCTAGTTCTTTACCAAACAGAACTTTAGCCTCACACTAGTCTATTCTCCCTAGATAAAATTTGTTGGGGTATCCAAATACAGAATTGTCCTTGCTTTACTGACATTTCCAAATCTGGATCAAACTCCAGTTACCTTGGCTTCTCCCCCAAATTACCCAACGGCCAAATCCTATGATAGGTTCTTTCTGAAACACTCAGATTGAGATACCGTCAATTTACCATGGTGTACATTTACCATAGCTGCACCAGTAATAGTGTTCAACTACAGGTGCATTACTGGTGATTTTTTGCTGGAAGGCACTGACATCAGTATCTCCAAAATATATCCTAAAGATAAAGCCAGGACTTTCAGAACTCCCTTTCACCTTTATCTGTTTGCCCACACCTCACCTCAGATTCCTCTCCAAAAGATAATCTTTTGAAAGCCAATATTGTAATGCCACTATATATAGTTTGTTTTAGAGTTTAGAATTTTCAGATCTGGGCCTCCCTGCTGCTCAAAGGATTAAGATACATGCAGCACTATGAAGCTATCTGCAACCACTGTAGCATAAACTCAATCCCCAGCCAGGAAGCTGACCCACATGGTACAACAGACCTCTCCTGTCTCCCCACTGCGCCCCTCAGCAGTGTATTTCAATACATCTACCTGTTCTGCTCCCTATTCTGTCTCTAGTGACTCCTCTCACTCCCCGCATCTCTGGCCTGTGCTCCAGTTCTTGCATGTATAAATAAATAAATCTTTAAAAAAAATAAATAATTCCCATATCTGCTGCTCACTAGCTGTGACCCTGGGCAAATTACTTAATCTCTTTGTGCTTCCTTTACCCCTCATAATATGAAATAAATTAATAGTATGTATAATATAAAGTTAGCTAACACATATGAAACACAAAATGCCTACCCAGTAAATGATCAACATGATTTTGGGTATCTTACGTAAATTAAAGCCCCTTCTCTTCCTTGGTCCTATAGTCATTGTTCCCCTTAGATTTTGGCCATCTCTCCACCTACCTCACCTCACCTGTACAACCCCATCCTTTTTTGTGACCGGGGTAGGAGCCTACGGGCCTGTCCTGTGGGCTGAAATAGCTCTAATGATGTTTGTAACCTTTGGGCACAATCTATTGATATACTTGGCAAAAAGTAAAAACCAAACTAAAACACAGAATTAAGCAATATGGCTTCAAAGATTATTTTGGAGCTATGTCAAGACATTTGAATCATTTTCTGATATAGTTATTCCAGCAAAATATCTTCCTGTTTAGTTTGGGGTAGGCTTGGATAGACTTAAGGAAAAATCAAGTTACCTTTTGATCTCATCCTGTTGCTTCCATGAGAATTCCTTCACCAACATGTGTTCTTCACGAAGACGAAACAAACTGTCCTCCAGTTCTTCCCGGTTCATCCTGCTCAAGGATGGCTGAGTTTTTATAGTTTTACCTAAAATGCAAGGAGAGGGTAAATGTAGATCATTTTCACATGTAATTTTATTTTGAACTCATCAGGTCTCTCCTTACATCTTTTTTCTCCCACCTGTCCCCTCTCATCATATCTTGTCCAAGGGTTTGAATCTATTTGAGTGAAATATTTAAGAAGAAATTCAGGAGTACATGAAATGTGTGATAATGGACCACTATCATTTTATATCACTTCTAGATAAGGAATATCATTCCCTATCATTGTGGCATGAACCATACAATTCAACCTCCTGTATAGAAAGTATACTGTAGGTCTCACTGGTGGTGCAAGGGGTTAAAACGCAGCACTGAGAACATCCACAACCACTGCAACATGAGTTAGATCCTGGGGTAGGGAGCTGACCCTCATAGCTCAGCAGACCTCTCGGGTCTCACCCACTGCTCCCCTCAGGGGTGTATTCCAGTAGAGCTGCCTGTTCTGCTTCTTCCCACTCTGTCTCTGGTGGATCCTCTCACCCTCTGTACTTCTAGCCTATACCTCAACCCTTGTATGCATAAATAAATAAATCCTTAAAGAAAGTACGCTGTATTTATTTTTAAAAAAAGCCTTTTAGTCTACTTGATTCTAATGTTTAATCTATACTTTAATTTTTCTCCTTATAGGTATTTTGACTTGGTCAGGGATTCTCTTCACATTGTCTTCAAACCTCCAGCAAAGAAATGAATAGAAACTCTGCCTGATTATCATGTGTCACCTCATTTGTTTTTGTTATCTGAAAAAACTGGTCTCAAAGTCACCTCTATGGAATAGGGTCTCTGTTTATCTTAAACAGAAGAAACTACAGCATACTTTTGAGTTCTTTTAAATTTCTGGTTGTGCAGTTGGCCACCAGAATGACTAGAGTCTCTAGGTGATTAGTTCATGGACAGGTTTTCCTATTACTAGTTCTATGATTTTGTCAATTTTTAGAATTAGCTCAACCAGCTCATGTTTTTTTGTGATTAGTGAATACAAAAAGGCTTTAAGGATTACAATATCCCCAAATGTGCACTGCTAAGGAACATCATGAACATAGATTTTTCACTTATTAAAAATATGATCCATTTAATGACAGTACTTTAACAAATTCTAAATATTATGTGGCTTTGGTTACATACCAGCTTGACTAGGAGGACACCTACAGAGGACACCATATGTCCTCCACAAAAGTAAAAAGAAAAATTCAACATGTTTTATTATGATTTTATAACTTAGGTGAAATGGATACATTCCTAGAAAGACACAACTGTAGAAAGACACAACTGCTAAGAATGACTCAAAAGAAAATAGAAACTATGAACTTACAACAAAAGGTTCTATCCATAATCAAAAATTCCCCACAAAGAAAATCTTAAGTCCAGACAATATTTGCTAGTGAATTCTATCTAATGTATAAAAAAGAATTAACATTAGTTTCACAAACTCTCCCAAAATATAGAAGAGGGGACATTTTCCATCATATTATGTGAGGCCAAAACCAAGGACATCATAAAAAAAGAAAATCACAGTCTAATATCCCTTATTACCACAAACACAAAAATCTTCAACAAAATAATAGCAAGCTGAATCCAGCAACACATGAGAAGGATTAAACACCATAATCAAATGGAACTAATCCTAGGAATGCAAGCTTAGTTTAACATGTGAAAATGAATGGAATATACCATGTTAATAAAGGATTAAGAAAACACCTGATATCAACAGACACAGAAAAATTAATAATGGTGATTTTATCCTTTAATGGTAAAAACACTCACAAATACTTAAAGATGGTAACTTCTTCAACCTGATAAGGGTCATTTACAAAAAAAAAAACCCTCACAGCTAAAGTCATCTTTAATAGTAAAAGATGAAAAGCTCTCCTGTAAGAGCAGGAAAAAGTCAAGGATGTGCACTTCTGTTCAACATTTTACTGGAGATTCTGGTATTTAGGCATTCATTAGGCATGAAAAATAAATAAAATGCATCCAAATTAGAAAGGAAGAATTAAAATTATCTTTCCACAGATGACATAATTTTATATAAGTAACCCATCAAAAAATACTAGTAGAGTAAATTAGTTCAGTGAAGTTTTAGGGAATGAGATCAATAAATAAGGATCAACGGCATTTTTACACAGTAGCACTGAATAATCTGAAAATGAAATTAAGAAATCAATTCCATTTAAAAGAACATTAAGGGCCTCTGGGTGGTGCAAGGAGTTAAGTCTCAGCACTATGAAGCTATCTGTAGCCACTGCAGCAGAGTTTGATCCCAGGCCAGGGAGCTGACACACGTGGAGCAGCAAACCTCTCCTGTCTCGCCTGCTGCTCCCCTCAGCAGTATGTTTCAGTCCATCTGCCTGTTCTGCTTCCCACTCTGTCTCTGGTGAATCCTCTCACCACCGGCACCTCTGGCCTGTGCCCAGTTCTTATATGCATAAATAAATAAATCTTTTCAAAAAATAAATAGAAGAGCATCAATACTTAATAGTACATTTAACCAAAAAGGTGTAAAACTTACCTTTTGATGTTGGTACCATCACAAATAACAAGCCTAGATTCTAATAGGCCCTCTGATGTTTCATCCACCTGAAGATGTGATGCTGTATCAGCTCCTATGCTGAAAGAGATCCAAGAGGATACTGAAACAAAGGAAGGGGTCAATCATTACATGAAACGTCAAGATGTCTTCTGCAGGCTGCACTTAAGTAGTAAAAGGAAATTCTCAGCACATCCATGGTGGTATAGCATATTCTTATTTTGTGGTATTTTGTTGAATAAGAGTAAGGTGGAGTCTAAAGAGTATGAAGAAGTACTCAATAATGATGACATTATTAAAAATGAAATCAATTTTTCTGACTATAGAATTAATGCACTTCTTTTTGGATCATTTTTTAAGTGTCTGCTCAGCCTGGAAACCAACAACCATTCCCCTTCTATGGAAAATGAACCTCTGACCCCACATCCCACTCCATTTATAGGAACTGACCCCCAGGTACCAGTTTAATTATGTGATCCAGTTCTCACAACTATTTTTTTATTCTTTTTTTTTAAACAAAAGTTTATTTTTACATCATTTTGTGCATTTTTCCATCTCAGTTGTAATCCCCGTGGGCTTCCCATCACCAAATCACCCGTCCACAACTATTTTTTAAAATATTTATTTAATTTATTTACTCATACAAGAGCTGGGGTATAGGCCAGAGATTGGGGGGAGGAGGGTTTAAGAGGATTCACCAGAAACAGAGTGGGGAGCAGAACAAGTAGATGGACTGAAATACACTGCTGAGGGGAGCAGCGAGTGAGACAGGAGAGGTCTCCTATACCTTGTGGGTCAGCTCCCTGGCTGGGGAGTAAACTTACTTCTGCTGCAGTGGCTGCAAATAGCTTGATAGTGCTGAGACTTAACCTCTAGCCACCAGGGAGGGCCGCAGAGCTGCATGACTGAAATGAAGGTTACCAAATGTCAGAAAAGAAAACTCAGGAGGGACTGGCAGTGAAAGTATGATAAAGGAACTTCCAAAATGTAATAATATGGTTGGATTTAATCTCTCAGGGAAAAAAGTAGAGAGTAGATGACAAAAGGAGGCTTTTTGAACTTTTTTTTTTTTTAACTTGTTGAACTTAAAGCTAAAAAATAATTCCCTTGCACAGATATTCAGTATAGGGCAAAGGTAGGTGAGTGAGGGTGAAGAATAACACTTGAGTAATGATCAGTAGCATAAAGCTGGCCTGATGGTACTAGCAATTGAAACTAGTCAGCTCTCCTTACCCTGATTTAATATTCACCTCTGGTTAAATGTATCCATATTTTAAAAGAGCAGGTTTATTAGAAAAAGGGACAGAAGAATAAAGGACACTTGCACAGAAACAAGCAGGCAGAAAGAGCTTCCCCAAAAGAGACAGGTTTGCTGAGGTCCGCATAGCTGCAGGTGGGTAGCTCTGAGGAGAGCTGCCTCTGTTGAAGGTGGTCAGTGCAGCAAAGCCCCCGCATGGTGCAGGTCAGGGCAGGCAGGAGGCTGCTGCCATGCACAGGGAGATAGTTGATGAAAAGAAAACACCTGCATAGTCGCAGGTGGGCAGAAAGACTGTTGCCGGGTTAAATTTAGAGAAGCTAAACTAAAGCTAACTGTATGAGAGCCATGGGATAAGAAAGATACGGATTCACATCCTTCCTTTGTTGAGTGAGCCCTATACAAATTACTTGACCACTCTGCTTCTGCTTCATTTCCTTTTTTACAAAACAGGGAAGAAAATAAATAAATAAAAATATGTCAGTGCAAGTTAATAATTTATATTGTCACATATATGATCCCCTTGAGTGTTGGCTAATGAGTCTTTTTTTTTTTTTTTTTAATGCATACAGGAACTGAGGTGTAGGCCAGAGGTGCAGGGGATGAGAAGATTCACCAGAGATAGAGTGGGGAGCAGAACAGGCAGATCTACTGAAACACACTGCTGAGAGGAGCAGCGGGTGAGAGAGGAGAGGTCTATCTGCTGTGCCATGCTGGCCAGGGATTGAATTCGCACTGCAGTGGCTGCCAATTGCTTGCTAATGCTGAGACTTTAACCCATAACCCAGCCCCAAATGAGTCAGTTTTTTATAGGGCTTATACATCATAGTCCCAACACAGTGACTGGTATCTGCATATTACATAATGATTTTTGAGCAGGGCCTCCCTGGTGGCATAAGGGATTAAAATGCAGCACTATGAAGTTATTGGCAGTCACTGAAGCATGAGTTTGATCCCTGGCCACGTGGCCCAGCAGATCTCTCCTGTCTTGCCTGCTGCTCCTCTCAGCAGTATATTTCAGACCATCTGCCTGTTTTCTCCCTACTCTTGGTTCTGGTGAATTCCACCCCACCCCCCCAACACGCCCCAGACCTCGGGCCTGTACTCCAGTTTTTTTTTTTTTAAGATTTATTTATTTATGCATACAGAACTGGGGTGCAGGCCAGAGATGTGGAGGGTGAGAGGATTCACCAGAGACAGAGTGGGGGCAATAACAGGCCGACTGACGAAGTACACTGCTGAGGGGAGCAGTGGGCAAGACTGGAGAGGTCTGCCAAATTCGGGGGCTAGGGATTTAACTCGCACTGAAGAGGCTGAAGCTCACTCACTTGCAGTGCTGCACTTTAACCAGTTGCTCGACTAGGGAGGGCCTATACTCCAGTTCTTGTATGCATAATAAATAGTTTAAAAAAAAAGATTTTGAGCGGATGTATTATTATGAAATTGGATTATGGAAGAAAAACTGTCTCACTTTTTAGAATTGCTTTTAACGATTTTACAAAATTTTACTAATAATACAGCCCCAATAACACAGTAAGATCAGTACTATAACAGTATCACTGATTTAAGTAAGGAAGAAGAGGAAGAATATTTAAAAATAAGGTGAAAAATCTGCTCAGAGAAGTATCACTAGCATATCAGTAGAGCATGAAATGATGCTGCAAAAATAGTCCCATCCTTCAAAATGTCGTGGATGAAGTGGTCTGTGTAACAAAAAAGATAGGGTCTAAACTATTTCAAATGTAATATGGATTGGGAATTCAAGTCTTCCCACTGTAAGGAATTAATTTTAACAGGCCAATAACAAATGAAGGCCTTGAAAGGGGCTGCAGTTGGGTTCCTCTGAAGAGCAGGTCTGGGGAAGAGGTACAAATTGTGAATAGACCCATGAAGAAAATAGTTTTATGATGAGATGACTGAGTAGGTGCTCATCTACATAAATGGATAGAAGGAAAGTTAAGCATTAAGCCAGAACATTAAAGCAGAGATAAAAGAAGCAATTGCAGTGGCTGTATGAAAAGCTCAGAAGAGATGATAGAGACCCCCTGAATTAGAGTTAAACTTAATTTGGCAAACATTGCTGAGTACTCATTCTATCTAGTTGCTGCAAAGAGAATAAAAATAAAGTCCTGCTTCTAGGAAATGAAGGATTAAGAAAAAAAAAAAACCCGAAACTTTAAAAAAAATACACGCTTAAGTAAAAGATAAAATATTAAGGAAAAATCAGAAAAGAACAAAGAATAGTGAGAGCATAAAAGTGACATTCACATTCACTTGTAGGATAAGATAAAGTTTTGCAGCAGGAGGGATGCTGTAGTCTAGGAGGGATTTTGGCAAGTGGAGATACTGAATGTTTCTGGGATAATAGTAAGTAGATACGAAGAGTTAGAAAAAGACAAAATATGTTTAAGTGAAAGGGAACATTTTGGAAGCCTTATATATAGAATTTTATTCATTCTGCTGAGAATGAATAGCAGCTATACATATTGAGCACAAAAGCAAATGATTTAGAGCTGTCAAAGAGCTTTGGAAAGACTCGTCTGCTCTTAGTAAATTAGAGAGACAGGCAGGGAAGATGAGACTTAGGAGGACTTTGCTGTGGTTCAGGTAAGAGGTCTTGCACTAGAAAGGACAGTGGCAGGGTGCTGGATCACAAATACACATGAAGGAGAAATAAGACTTGACAACTAGTTGGACGTGGGTGACAGGATTAGAGATAGAGATGTTGTGCCTTGAGACTGGGAGTACAACAAAATGAATAAATTATTTCACAATTCTCGAAAACACGCTAGGAGAAGAAATGAATGATGAAAAATATGTATTAAATATAAACTTACAATTATTGATTCCTTGAGAGAGCTCTCTAATTCTTTCCTTTGATTCTTATGGTGTCCTCTAGTACTCTAGAATCCTCTTGTCCTTCTGGCTTGTTAAGAGAGAAGTTAATACAATTCTGTTTAGCTCTTAAGATTGTTAACTCTTTGTAGATCAGAGCTTGAAGGTCATACTTTTTCCTCTATGCATGCTGTAGATGCAGTTAAAAAGATTCATTAACATACTGATTTCTCCACTAAAACTAAATCTGAAACAATTATCTTTGATTTGAGATAAATGGAATTTGTTGGTGTTGGGAGATGACCTTTAAATTTCTTTCTGAAGGGTAACAATAGTGTGGAATTGTCTGGAGTCCTGAAATCTCTTTGATAAGCACAAATTCTGGTTTACTGGTGGGGTCAACAGATTTGCTCAATTATGGGCCAGAACACTTGCAACAAAAAGAATGTACAGTTGCCCCATGAAGAACACAGGTTCAAATTGCACAGGTCCACACATATGCAGATTCTTTTCAATAAGTGTAGTACAGTGCTGTAGATGTATTTTCTCTCCCTTATGATTTTAACACTTTTTTCCCTCTAGCTTACTTACAATATAACATACAAAATATGTGTTATCAACTGTTTGTTATTGGTTAGACTTCTGGTCAACAGCAGGGTATTAGTAATTAAGTTTTGGGAAAGTCAAAAGTTATGCATGGATTTTTGACTACACAGGGGTTGGCACCCTAACAATTGTTTTGTTTAAGGCTTAACTGTGTATCTTCCATTTCACTGCGTCCACAGTTTCCAAACCAAACATTGGGATGTAATTATACAACAACAAGACTTGATGCTTGAAAATGAGATCTTAAAATTAATTTCTAAAATTCTGCGGCAGGTACCTGCATTCATATTAGATATAGGAAAAATAAAGAA